GCTGGGGATTCGAACCCGCCACCTTAGGTGTACGTGGCTGGCGCCTTAGCCGGTTGAGCCACAGGCGCCGAGCCAGTGGCCATTCTCTTAATGTCTCTGCCAGGCCACCTGTGCCAGCAGCAGGGTTGCTTGTGTTGTTCCCAAGCCCACTGCAGGACATGGGTTAGAGGGGGTGTCCAGGTATGGAGCATGTTGTCCCTTGATTCTGAGTCCCATGAGCCCTGTGCCCCTTAGAAGTGGGTGGTATGGGCTTAACATAACATTGGGGCCCCCAGCCTTCTGCAAGGCTTTTCTCCCTCTGGAAAGCAGCATCTTCTCAAGTTGTCCAGGGCACTCACGATCCTGTCCTTACTGTGTCCAGTTAGCACAGTGTCACCAAAGAAATGAGGATCCCCAGCAGCAGACTAAGGTGGGCTGCTGTCCCTATCATACCTCATCTGCTGTGCCGGCTTTTCTGTGGTGATCTCGTACTGGGGAGAGGGGAGGTCATTTGCCAGCACACACAGCGGTGGCTTGTTCAGCGCTAGGGGCAGGTTGGCTTCTCCAGTAAAGGTCCCACTGGACCTTGGCTATGGCTAGTGTGGCCAGTGGTAAGGTGGTGGTAATCTGCCAATAGGCAAGACAAGTAAAGAAGGAAACCCTCCCTCCACAGGCCAGGGTGCTGCCCACTTGACATGTGGGGACCAGTGCTATACCTGCAAAAGCCCCACCTGCTGCCCAACTATGGTGGCTGTCAGGTGGCAGAGTCAGAGCTGCTCCCAGTGGCCCTGGAGGTTTCTCCACCCTACCTTCTGAGCAGGGGGCTGAGGGGTATACAGTAGTGGCTGTGTTGCCAGGTCCTCTTCAGGGTGCCTGGCCTTCCCTCTAACAGGGCTCTGGGGACACCATGGGACTTCGTTCTGGGAACTGGAGGAGAGGTCTGAAGCTTTGCTGCAGCATTTTGCTGGCAGATACTTGGCTGTGGAGCAACTGTCATCAGACTTGTGATTCCCACAGACCCAAAGGGTGGTGGTTCCAAAAACATTCCTGTGTCTGAGGCAGTGCAGGCCTGACTCCTCTTAGGGTGGGCCGGGGGTCTGTAGTCTGCAGACTCAGGTGCTCAGTACAGGCCCTGGAGCAGGGATTAGGGGCTCTGGCCCTCTGTAGGATGTCCAGGCCAAATTAAGGCCATGGCATCCCAGGGCAGTTAACTCTGTTCCCAGGTGCTTCTGGGGACGACTGGCCTGCCACACTTCTGTTTGGGTTTTGCTTGGTGGCATAGCTCTGGGCAGGAGGATCCCAGGTCCTCCTGAGTAGGTGAGTCCTAGGCAGAGTGGGCACCAGCTCTTCAGGCAGCTACCCAGGCATGGGGTTCCTGGCACAAGAAGTGGGTGCTATCAGGAGGTGGCTATGGCTCCGGGTGTCCCTCCTTTCCTTGTAAATTGTTGCTTCTCAGCATATAAGGGCCTCAGTGGGGCTGTAGCACCCCAACCCCAGGCCCCTGCTCATCCTGCCATGCCATCCGGGTGATGTCATGAGGCCATCCCCCCTGTAAGGTGAGCTTGGACGACTCAGTCTGCCACCCAGCCCAGAACCCAGTGTGTGAGGCTATATCCCCTGTGCCATGCCTGGCACTGGCAACTTCCTGACCCCAGAAAGAAGAGGGGTGGGGGGCCAACCTGAGTCCACACCTTTGCTGCAGTCTGGTATAGATGGAATCCAGCCCAGGGCTGGACAGACCCCTTGGTGGTGCTGTGAGTGCACCCTCCCTGGGGTCTGCACATCCCCTTCCCTTGGCCCCATGCCTAGACCTTACCACACAGGATCTTACAGGATGCAGGACAAGCCCTGCCTGCTGGTTGGCAGGACCCTCACAGCTTAGTTGGTGACAAGGGGAGTGGGGCCCCTCCTGACTTGCAGGAGCCCAAGGGAGGGAGCAGAGAAAGGCCACCAGGCCTGGGTGCCCACCTAACTACTCTCCTCTGAGCAATAGAAACCCCCAGCAGGGAGACCCTGGCAGTGGTGGGAGCACCCGAGGGTGTGGAGGCCAGGATCATTTCTGACCAGCAATACAGTCAGACTTAGGGGTTCCTCTCTGTGAGGGAGAGGGTCCCCCTAGAAGGAGTGCTAGCGAGCCCCTTGGCCTGCTGTCCTGCCCTGCCAGGAGCTGTGGACTCTTCTGAGGACACTAGTCCCATCGTGGGTCCTTATGACCTCACTTAACCCTAATGACCTCCACATACTGTCACACTGGGAGGGACATATTTTGGGGGGACATAAACATCTGTTGTAATAGGGACTCTGTGTCAAGGCTGAGAAACACCTGTGCCCTCTGACCAGGGAGTGAGCATGGGGCCACCAGTCTTGCAGTTCTATGACCACGTCACTGGTTACACCTCAAGTGTCCTTTGGAGATGAGGTCAGTTCCACTTTCTCTAGTGGTTCCAGAGCAGGAGTAGAATGAGGCCAGCCAGGCTCTGATGAGGGAGGACTCAGTGACAAGGTCACATTGAAATAGGAGGTCACAGGAGAGAAGGAGAAACCAGAAGGAGGCTACTTGTGCATTAAAAAATTTAAAGTCGGCTCAGCGCCTGTAGCTCAAGCAGCTAAGGCGCCAGCCACATACACCTAAGGTGGTGGGTTCGAATCCCCAGCCCGGGCCCACCAAACAACGATGGCTGCAACCAAAAAATGGCCGGGCATTGTGGAGGGCGCCTGT